GAATGTATTACTGAGGAGAGTAGGCTACAAAGAAGAATGAGTGAAATTCATCAAGAAGGATCCATAGCTCAGCTTGCCTAGACGGTGCCAGCCCCCTTGAAATGCTTGCTGGGTGAGTGATGTACAAAGGAGAGAGAATAAAGCCACCATCACAGGGACAAGCTAAGCAAGCACTCAAGGTTCAGGTGCTCAGACCACCCACCCCACAGTCTGTTGCCTTTACAGCTGGCCATACCAGTTACCAGACACCAAAAGAGGCATTTGCTGCAGGTTCCAGGTCAGTGGAGAGGGGTCCTCTGAGGCCAGGTCCCAGGAGACAGAGGCTGCCGGTGGAGTGGGAAAGAGAAGTAAGAGCTGGGGACAGCTGGGCCCTGGGGAAGTACCAGCCGGAAAGGGGACAGGACAGGCAAGAGGAAGGAGGGGGGCTAGCACATCTGGGGGCTCACAAGGTGCCAAGTCATTTGGACCCATACCCTACTCGCATTATCATTTAATTCTTTCAGGGATCTGAGAAGTGGAAGGACGCTCTGGGACTTGAACCCAGACATTGCCATCCTTCTTCCTATCTCCCAGGGCAGTTTCCTGGGGAAAAGCAGTATGGGGATTCAGATGAGAATGGAACATTCTGTCCACAGTTCCCGCACCTCCACCATGCCAGCCACCCTACTGTCCCACCACCCCAGGTCTGTTGACTGAGTTTACCTATGATCTTAGTGCTTTTGTCCATCCCTTGGTGAGATCTTAGCCAGCTCCCTGCTCTCTGCCCTGGGCCGGATCAGTGATCTCCAGCAGTGCAGATACCCTGTATACAGTAGATACTGTCTACTCCCACAAGATAACTAGTATATCTGTTGGAATGTACGTGGAAATGATTCTGCTTTCCTGGCTCCAGAGACCCTAAGAGCTGGCCCTGTCCAACAACCCAGAACACACTCCCTATTCCCCCCTTTGTTGTGGGTTGGGCAGTAGCTCACTAAAAGATACATCTTCATTTTAGCACCCAGATCCTGTGAATGTTTGAGGCCAACCTGGGGTACATGAGACCCTGCTTTCAAGCAAAGCAAAACACCCATGCTTCCTACTGCACCCCTCTTTTCCTACCTTCCCACACCCCAAGCTCCTTTCCTAGAGGAGGACCTCGGAGTAACTTCCTTGTAAAATCTTCACTGTTCTGACTTTTAGAACTTTCTAGCTCTACTTCTACTTCTAGAAGGCCTAAATTAAGACCATACTAACTTATGCATGGTCCCCAAGCTGGCCTAAGCACAGATCCCCTTCCCAGGTCACCTGGGAGCACCGTCTAAGGGAAGGCTACATAGCTCTCCATTAGAAGTTAAACACAGGGGCTGGGTGGTGGTGAGGCCAGCCTGGTCTACAGAGTGAATTCTAGGACAGCCTCCAAAGCCACAGAGAAACCCTGTCTCGAAAAACAAAAACAAACAAACAAACAAAAGAAGAAAAACGCTGCCATCCCCTCCCTGTTGAGGTCACCAGCTGAGGTAGGACCGTCTTCGTCCAGGTTTGATTATCTCATCATAAAAAGAGAGTCTATTTTCATCTGGAATTATGCGAATAAACCCAAGAAATGTGGGAAAAGGAGAATGATGAGAGGAATGCCATCATCCAAATCGTCTACATCACTCCCTATACCTGGTTACCACCAAGACCATCATCACCTCTGGACTCCACAGTTACATGAGTTATTAATTCCAGTTCTTTTCTGAATCTGGTCTGAGTCTGTCTTCTGTCACCCGAGACCGTAAGCGTCTTGGCTGAGACAATACTTCCACTATTTAGGCAGTGTCAACTCACCAGTTCTCGTTCAAAGAGCGTTGCTGAAATTTCTGTTTTAACACAGAAGCCAGACTTGCAATGCTGCAGGCAGTGCTTCTCCATCTTGACCTTCAGGGCTCACCTTTTGCATCTTTGGAGACAGGACTGCTGTGGTTTGAAGGAAAATGGCCGCTATATGTTCATATGGAGTAGCACTATTAGGAGGTGTGGCCTTGTTGGAGTGGGTGTGGCTTGTGGAGGAAGTGAGTCACGGGGTGGGGCGGGGCGCTTTGAGATCTCAGACATTAAAGTCCAGCCCACTGTGGCACTTTCTTCCTGTTGTCTGCCAATCTGGATGTAGCACTCTCAGCGACCTCTCCAGCATCCTTCCTGCCATGACAAGAGACTGAACCACTAAACTATAAGCCAGCCCAAATTAAATGTTTTCCTTTATAAGAGTTACTGTAGTCATCGTTTCTCTTCACAGCAATAGAAACCCTAAGTCCGGACCAAGAACATCTGTCTTCCAATTTCTGTGGCTCTCTCTCATGGCCACTAGACAGCAGGGCGCCCCGAGGCTTGGACACTCTTTCCAGGAGGCACACAGTCGTAGTAACTAACACCCTGACTGTGGTCGGTGTGCTGTGTTCTCAGACTCCGGGGACTTCGTTCATACTAACTCAACATCAGTACTTCCTGCTCCTCCATGGGTCCCGGCGTCCCTGGGTGGAGAACATACCTTTCTCACCGGTGCCAGGGCAGAGCCCTTCGTGGACAAACAGCCTCTCTTCCAGGCCCCAAACAAGTAGAGAGGACGAGCCTTCTCAGGTCTCAGCCCTGATTGTCTGACTACCCACTGCTGGGCTCACAAGGCACGTGGGTCAGTATTCAGTAAAGGAGATCAGTGTGTGTGCAGTTGGGCTCCATGGACTCTGCAGAATGAGCCAGGTAAGGGCGTCGCAAACATGCACCTGGAAGTGCTCCAAGATTGTGAAATGATAAGGGAGGGAGTTGACATGAAAATTAATTTTTCACAGTGCTTTATCAAACATACATTATTTCACTTAGCGCTTGACCGTGGGTTAGAAATTAACTGCTGTTACACCACAAGGGAGAACATGTTATTCCCACTTCCAAATAAATATCTTTTCATAGTTTCCCTTTAAATTCGGTCCAGAAACATGATGGGCCCCTATTGTTTTGTCAGACTAGCATCGGCCTCATTTCTGGGAACCGTGTCCCTGGCTCCTGGGAACTATTCCTCTGCCCCCGGCCCCCCGAACATGCGTATGGCACCACGGGAGTCTGCCTGTTGGCACAATTGGATGCACTCTTGGCTCTGGCCATTGGTGGAGAGGTGGGCACCTGATTCAAGCTGACCAATCAGAGCCCTCCCCCAAGATTTGGGAATTGCAACTGACAAAAAGAAGTCAGTCTCCCCCTGAGTGTCTGAAAATGAAGACATGTAAATGCAGAAGCAGTTGGCAGCCCTGTTCCACCATGTGGACTGAGGAATAGAAAATGCCAATCAGCAGAAAGAGAAGCAGAGGCGAGGGAAGGAGAAGGAACCCAGACAGCCACTGAGCTGTGCGGTCTAGCTGCTCCCCAGGCCCAGCCATATTCCTCTTTTGGATCCCACCGAATCCACGTAGCCTTATGACAAAAATTCTTTTTTGGCTTCAACTAACTTAAGTTGGATGTCTCTCCTTTGCAACCCCAAGAGTTTTGACTCGTATGAGAATGTAGCCCCATTTCAATCTTGTTTCCCTGTCAAGCTTGAATTTCTCAATCATTTTACTTTGTGACTTCAGAATGGAAAAGGGAAAAATGAAAATATTTTAATTAGACCCCCCCACACACAAATTAATCTGCATTCATTCTCCTGGATGGGTTCTACACAGAAAATTCTTCCATCTGGAGTAGATTAAGAACTCACTAGAAGTACAGGTGTGTCATGAGATTCTTCACTAAGAATTTAGTCTTCTTAGGATCGGGTTGGAGAGATGGCTCAGTGAATAATGCATGTACTGCAGAACCACTGCAGAACCGCGAGGACCTGAGTTTAATTATCAGAATTCACATAGAAAGTCCATCGTGATAGCAAACTCTGCTCCTAGCGAGAGACCCCGCCCCCAACAAAATGAGAATGGGGCGTAGTGACTCAGGTTTGTAATCCTAGCCTTTTCAAGATTGACTAGCTACAGGTTTGAGGCCAGCCAGCATGGGCTATGTAGTCAGTTCCAGGAGAGCCTGGCTCACAAAACAATAGCAACAACAAAGGAAACAAAAGCAAGGTAGATGGCTCTTAAGAAATAACACCCAGGTTGATATAAAGCATGCACAAATATACATATAACATACACAGAGAGAGAGAGAGAGAGAGAGAGAGAGAGGATGAGAATCTGCTCTTCTCTAATTTTAGAGCTTATCTGCAAGAACAGCACACTATTTTTTGACAGTCTCCCCGACTTGATGTGACCTCTGACCTCTAGATCTACAGGAACCCCTTCGGCCACTTGTTGAAGTCCCTCAAACCGAATCAGAGGGACAGGAGTCTGTTGCCTGATTTCCTTGACAGCTGCTTAAGGATCAGAATTAGCCTTTTTTTTTTTATAAGGAAGGCTCATGATGCAAGGTGGTTGAGAGCTGTCCAAAGAAAGCACTGTGGAGAAACTGAGATAGAAAATCCCCTTTCAGAACAAACAGGGAGAGCTGCTTAGCTAAGCAAACTCTCTGTGTTCTGTGATCCTTAAAATAACCAATAAGGAAATGTACAACATGGCCGATTCTGTCTCCATCCACCTTCTTAAGTGTGGATGCTTAGTGTCAACAAAATAAAACAAACCACGAAGTAAGTTCTTGCTATGTATTTATTTAGAATCTCTAGGGTTTTGCCTGTTAAAAAATAAAAGTTAACCCTAAACCCACTGGACTTGACCACAGACAAGAAAGCATATGTTTAGCACATGGCTGACACATGTGAACGTGAGTACTGTCAGATATTAAAACCCCACAAGCCAGGGGAAGCCCTCCCAGCCCTACCCCTGCCCGCCCTTATCGGAGCAAGCATGCCTTTGATCACACGAGCCTCAGAAGCCTAGCCGTGTATTAGTCACCATTTCTACTCTAATTGGAAAATATTTCCCTGTTCAAGTTCAATCAGCATTTCAGTTAAATAGGTAAAAGATGCCCGAGAGTTTAGAGGCGGGAAGAACCTCAGAGGCGTCTCTGGCTCAAAAGGTTTATTTTAAAGATGAAACGATAAAGTCACTTGTTCAAGACAACACGGCTTAGTCAGCAGAGAACAAGAGGGCAGATTTCCTCCCTCCTGGTTTCCGGTTTTTAGAAGCAAGACCTTTCCAGAAAGCTTCCAAGCCCTCTCTCTTCAGCTCCTGGTCAGTGCCGCCTGAGGGGAGGCTGTGAAGGCTCTAGAAATCAAGGACATCCCTCCAGAGAAAGTTGCAGGCCGCTGAGGGCCAGTGCTGCGGGGTTGTAAAGGCAAGCCTCAGGAGTTCCGCCTTCAGGGATGCGGTCCTCGCATCCACTCTGCACAGCTGTCCTCGCATCCCCTCTGCACAGGCAAGCCTCACACGGCCGCAGTCCCGCCACGCGACAGCGTTGCTGCGGGAGGGTTCCAGGAGCCCTGGGGGATACATTTAAAAGATACCCAGGGAAGCAGAGCAGAGGATGCCACCCCATCGGAAAGAAAGGCAGCCCGCTGCAGGTCAGGGGGATGGATGCAGGGGCCCTGCCGTCCTGTGCGTGCCCTGCCAGCTTCCTCCCACATCCGTCGTTGGTTGTGGTGGGACACTAGGAAACAACCCAGCGGCATGGCGCACAGCCACACGTAGAACAGAGGGCCCAGTTGCTCGGCAGCTTGAGTGGGAATGTGAGAAAAATCATGGGGATTTCACAGCGCAGGTGGAGTTCGGCACAAACAACCTAGCGTGTCTTGCTAATCATTAGAGATGGCACCTCTGTACAGTGTCAAGAAGTGGCATTTCGGGGGCATTTCCTCCTTTTTGAAAAAGACACGGTGCCGATAATATAAATTGTTTAAGTTCAAGAAGTACAACAGACCAACGCCAGCTTCCCAGGTAAGGGCTTGGGGTGGGAATTTGGCACCACAGCTCCTCGTGGCATCACACCCTCATTCCTCTATGATTCACACACACACACACACACACACACTTACACGCACACACGCACACACGCATGCACACACACTCACACACACGCGCTCTTTGCTCCCTCTTCTTTTGAACAATAGGCATGCCCAGGACATGTGGGTTTCAGAGCGTGTGGACAGGGTTCCCTCATCTGTGCCATCTCACTGTCTGTGTATGGTTTTCACATCAGTTACCTGAACAGAGGTGTCGGTTCCACATCGGCTGGCCCTGAGAAGAAAACAGTTCTCAGGCAGCTCCTATAAATTACCCCTCTTCTCACTTTAATATCAAGTATGATATGTATTAGAGTGCAGGCTTTGGGCTAGACTCAAGTTGGAAGGCTGTCAAATAAAATACAAAATAGAAAAATAAATCCGAAGTGAAATTTATGACATGATTTTTACTCCCATTACATTCCACTTAACAAATGCATATGTTTTACAATATCTTTAATAATAATTATTAAACATAGTAAAATACTTCCAAACTTGGCTCATTGCATAATTGTACTTCAAGTGAAAAAAAATTATCTGAGGCCTTGTCAGAGTGCCACTTCCTCCTCCCCCAGCTTTTAACAGAAGCAGCCTCCAGTGGGATAATCCAAGCTGTGTTCAAGAAGTTGGCAAGTAGGTCCAATTAAATGTGGTTTTACTGTATTCTGGCGTTTGCATATCTAGTTTGCCAAGAAGTAATCTTTCACAAAAAAAAAAGAAGAAAGAAAGAAGAAAAGAAAGACAGAAAAAAAATCTGTACTGGCCCAGTATCAGACTGGATGGTACAATGTATCCTATAACTTTACCCCATGACTAAGATAATCTCTTTTTTCTTAAATAGCTATGGAAAATGTATCATCTATCCATCATATTCCTGTATGAATCACAAATCGCCATCCTGTGTGGGACGTCTTACATTTATACATGACAAAACTGGAACTCGTCTCAATACTTCTGTTTATTTTAATTATTAAACTCCAAGGGGTTAGTGCCCAGCCACCTGAGCTCGATGTATTTATTCAGGTGTACTCCAGTCGGATTATCTGAATGAGGCTGTAAATGATCCCATTGACTATTAAATACCCACTTGTCCAAGCAGGAACTGCATACATTCACAGACCTGGGTACCTGGAACTGGGAGGGACGCCTCTCTGGTTTTGCCGCTGAAATGCTAGGCAGCTCCTTTGCTGGTGTTTGACTGCCCCAGGCCTTCATGGAGGAGCTGACTCGAGCAGTCCTTTCCAGCTAACCCAGGCTCTCCATGAACGGCCGGCCGCATCCAAAGTCCAGATGGAAAGCTGTCAACAAAGAGACTCCTTCCGCTCTGCCTACTGCATGATTCATCCCTGGCATGAAGACAGGCCCGGAGATGGTCCCACCACCTTGACTCCCATAGGTGAGCCAGGCAAGGAGCACAGGTGCTCACTCTGCAGGTCAGCGGGAAGGGATCAGGTCCTAAAAAATAGGCTGCAAACCCCACAACCTGGCCTTTGTTATGAACCGTCATGAGCTCATTAAAAATACATGCAGAAATGGTTAAACAAAACCCTGTAAAACCTTTTACAAAATCGCCAGTCTATTAGGGGAGACAGAGCCCGCAGCGAACTCTCCCTCCAATGTGTGCAACGGAGCAGCTAATGTCCTTTGGACTCTTGTCTATGGCATCAATCAGGGGAAGGTTGTTTTTTCTTCTTTTTTTTCCGGAGGGGGGGGTGCTTGTTTATTTTGGTTGTTGTTGTTGGTTTTGTTTTCTTTTTAAAAACCAAATGATTAAATATAGCAACAAAGAACTGTTTTTCACCAAATTTGTATTGTTATGCTCATTACCTTTTACAAAAACTGATGAAAATAATAAGATTAAAAAGGAAGATTGTGTCATGATAACAAGGGGGAAAGAAAAAAAGAAAGAAAGAAAGAAAAAATAGATGACTGTGGCCCGATTGCTTTTATGAAGTGGCATGGCATCAAAGAGGGAAATGGGCAGACTGAATAGGGGCTCTGAAGCCATCCAGTACTTGGCCCTGCTACACACACACACACACACACACACACACACACACACACACACACATGCACACTCACACGCAGATGCACATGCACACTCACACACACACACACACTCACACACAAAGTTGGAGCATATCTTAGTATTGAGAAGTGTCTGGATAAACACAACGTTGTATTCCACTACTCTGTGGATTTCATGCAGACACATTGCCCTCCCAGTGGATGGACTCACAACGGTTTGCATGGCACACAGGGCAGGTTGGTGACACAAGGCCTGGCACTGAGACGCTCTGGGCTCTGACCTAGCATGTGCCACCTTCTCCTGGTTACAGGGAGTTGTGTGCTGGTCTGCCGTCATTCTGTGTATTCATCATACTGGTTTTTATACTTAGCGATACTCCAGTGAACCTCAGTCATAGCTTTCCCATCTCGTTCCTTCAGCCTTGGGGGGGGTATGTCTGTATCCAGTGCAGACTTGCCATAGTAGATTTTCTCTGAGAAGTCGTCAGTGCTGTCCCTCCATCTTCCTCTTACCTCCCAAAAGAAGTGATATGGATGTGGCACCCTGGATTCATCAAAATGGCCACAGAGAAGTTTGTCAGAAGGAACCAGAAGTGTGACATCAACGAGAGAAGAATTGCACATGTGTTTGCATCCACAGGCCTGCCTGAGTGTGTAAGTCTCTCACAAGTATGACCCTTTCACACAGCCTGTAGAAATTGTTTTCCATGACGGCATGATGAAAATAAAGTTGAAACTATTAGTCCTTGATGGACTTAAATTTTTAAAAAGAAAAGTGGTGGTGGAGCACACCTTTAACCCCAGCACTCTGTGAGTTTGAGACAAGCCTGCTCTACAAAGCAAATTCCAGGACAGCCAGGGCTATCCAGAGAAACCCTGTCGGGAAAACCCCAAATTAAAATGGTAATGATAATAATAATAATGATAATAATAATAATGATGATAATAATAATGATGATGATAATAATAATAATAATAATAATAATAATAAATACTAGAAAAAAGGAAAAATCTGCATTCAAAAAAATCCACATTGCTGGGAAGGCTTTGTGACAGAAAAACCTTTCATATTAGTTTAAAACTAATTTTTCTTATTGTAGCATTGTTCCCTAAAATTTGCATAGCATCTTTCCTCTGAGAGCTTAGTGATGTGTAAATTCCTGTTCACACTGTGCCAAGGAAGAAGTGGCATTGCCATTCTTCACTAGAAATGAAGAATGAGTGTGGTAGAGTAGGACCCCTCCTGTGTGTCATGAATGTGTCTTTCTGACTCTCCTTCGAAGCTTCTCTCCAATAGATGATGGTGAGAAATATTCTAAGAAAATGGGGTCAGTAAGGGGAAACACAGAGTCTCCCACTTGGGCAGCAGAGTTGTTCTGAGGCTCCCGAAGGCTGGCTCCTCAGCCCTGACCATGCTTCTCCTCTGACTACCCATGTCCAGAAGCCTTCTGGCCATTCTCTGCCTGTGTCTCCCGGCACTGAGCACTGCCTCGCTGTGGCTGAACAAATGATACAGTTCTTTTTGTTGTTGTTTATTTTGTTTTTCTGGAAACCCAAGAAACCCATTCCAAGCTAGGAACATGAAGAGAAAGTGTGAGGTGTGGGGGTGTTGTCAGGTTTCTTTAGTTCTTGATGAAGGAGAGGTCAAACCACCTAGTCCCCGGAGTACCCTGCTGCACGGAGATGGTGACTGGGCCAAAGGGGTGGGAAGGACAGCATTCCAGCCTAGATTCCCATAGGAAGTGTTTGTAGCAGACCATGGGTAAGGTAACACTGACACCTATTACAATGAGAGCTTGATCACAGAGGTATGATCAGGATGGAGAAGCAGATTCAGCATTAATCCAAGATGACCTAAAGCAAGGGATTTGATTTGATCATCCTGTGCCTCTAAAGAGAGAAGACATCTATCTTTAAAATGATAGCCACCCAAGGTGCAGGGAATGTGTGAGATATTTGCAGAGACCCGAAGCTACTTCTCTCTCTGACACCTCAAACATCTGGGCCTGTTTCTCACCAGAGTGAATGACTTGGAAGTCACTTTCTGGGCCTGCCAGCTTCAAGTATTCGTGATGCTAGGTTAGCCCCTATGTGGGAGAACACGCATGGCAGCAACCTGTGAGGAGAGACTATCAGACAATCACCACAGACCTTGACACAGAGGAGAATTCCGGAGCTACTCAGTCCTAAGATCTTCAGAATTTGGACAACAAAACTAATTTATTATTTTAAAGACAATCAGTTAAGAATGCAAATATTCAGACTAGAGATGCAGATTTAAGTTTTGACTTGTGTCTTGCTTATAAAGCTTAACTGTTATTTTTGGAGAGATTAAAAATGTATGTATTATTAAATAAAAACATGAGGGTTGATAGCCTCCTTCTTTGAGGGTGTTATTTGACTGACTTTTAAACAATAACACATCAGTCATGTAAAACCCCCCCACACTGGTCAAGCCTACAGAATGCCTGTCATATTTTCACTACAGTATTATTTTTACTGCAGGGTAAGCACCTTCACATAGCAAACTGAATAAATGATGACAAACCTCCCCTCCCTCCCCCTTTGCACAGAAGTGGTTCTAGCACGGCTTCAAGGCATCCCTCAAGGAAAATAACATATAAATAGAACGTGAGAAACCACCACGTTCTCTAGACTTCACACTTACTATGAAAAGCAAAAGTTCTTTGTGCCTCAACATATCCTCTAATTTCTCTGCCTTTTGCTGAAGGATTTCATCCAGTTTGATGTCATTTATTGTAAGGAGCCCCAGAAATGCCTCAGCTCCTTTATCTTCCAGCTCAGGCCCCCTGCCTGGGCATATTAACACGTAGCTAGCTGATACCCAGGGTGGTAAATAGGCCAATCTAAATTGGAGTTCTCATTTCAAATTTGTTTCCTTCTCGCCCCCCCCCCAATGTAGAAAGACATGAAAACAACTTGGCTGGAAAATTCAGTTGTGCCATGGTGTCAAAATCACTTGATGAATAAACTTTACCCTCTTGTTGTAAATAAAAGGACCCAGAGAAAACTAGAAAGCAGAATACCAGGTAAGAATTTAGTTTGTGCTTCGGCAACAGTCAGCCCCAAGGAGACACTCACCCAGTAGTTCTCTTAGATTATTCACTTACAAAATCTTGGAGCTTTGGAAGAGATTTTTAAATTTTACATAAAAGACTCTTGTCCTATGATTTTATGTTGGCTATAAACCTGTGTCATTTCTCCCTCCTTCCATACGGAATCTAGAAACTTCTTTGTCAAAACTAACTTTAAAAACCTGATTTTCTTGAGATATGATTCTTTTTCTTCTTTCTTTCTTTCTTTCTTTCTTTCTTTCTTTCTTCCTTCCTTCCTTCCTTCCTTCCTTTCTTTCTCTCATCCTCCCAATTTCTTCTATTTAAAAATGATTTTAAGTGAGGGAAAAACTGTTTTAAGTTAGAAAATGGGATTTTTTTTCACTAAAGACACATAGATGTCACTTACATGTATGGTTGCAGTCACTCCAATATTCTAATTATTGTACTAGTGTGTTTCTCCCCAAATGGTCCACACCAACCTGCTTAGGAGGCATGGCTGTGTAGTCAACATGCAAATGTTTCAGTATTACCAATATGTGCTACAGTTTCAAACACAAGGTTTACAGAAAAGACACGTATATTTTCAACTTCTTAAAATATTTTTAAAGAGATTTCAAAGAAAAGCTTAAATGCTTTTACTGTGATCAAAGTTCATCTGGAGTCATCCTCTCAGATTTTAAAGTGACCCACATTAAGCATATTTTTCTTCAATGAAATGTACATATTCTTTTTTATAGGTTTAAGTAAATATATTCGTACATGCATGACTGATACATATCGTCTAAGTTCTACACATCAAAGTTAGCTCTGGTCTTGCGTGACACATAAATAAAATCATGTTCCTTTTTCAGGTTCCATGGCATCTGCACGTTTGCTATGTTAAAGCAGATTTAATCTACTCACACTCGTCTACCAATATTAAAACGCTTTCTTTCATGCAGCACTTCCTATGAACTACAAATACGCTTTTGACAGACTTGCATATTTGGGACAATAACTTTTAAAAATTTCTAGAGAGTCACATTAAACATGCACATTGACACTTAACAAAAGCCACCTGATTTAATGATTAACTGCAAAGATCACAGCAATCTGTAGGCGGTTGGTTTCAGTGAGTGGATTCTCTGAGTGACACAGGGACTCTCAAAGCCACCCTGCACACACTCAGTGAAGCTGTTCTTGACTCAATGTGCTACATTTTTAAAACCAAATGGTTTTTGTGTTATTTTGCTTTTCCCTCTCCCTCCCCAAAGAGACAGTTTCCTAGAACCTAATAGCAAACCCAGTCCTAAAGCTCAGAAAACATACCTTACTGTGAGAATGACCACAAACTCACGACAATGTTTGGTTTTTAAAAGATACTGTTAAAGCTACCCTTGCAACTTTAAAAAAAATGTATAATTCCACATAAAGCAAGAAATTGAAATGAAATGAGTAAACATCAGAATAGAATTAGGAAAGGTAACTGGGCACTCCAGCTTTCTGTTTGAGCCTTTCTCCCAGGCGAAAAGAAAAAAAAAGGCTGATCTCTTCCAAGGTTGATCTCTTTCAAGGGCTTGAATGTCCTAGGAGAAGAAAACTATTCTACATGTCTGCATTACCTGGATAATTAGTTACAACTTATTTAGCATAAGCAGAGACGTGATAAAGAATTGGGATATTTAAAGAAAAAAAGAACTGTTCAAACTATTGCTATTCGTTGATTCATTTCTACACAGCCAACCTTTCTCTTCACAGTGTTGCACATTTGGGGTTCAGTTTCTTCCACAAGAAGTCACAGAAGTCAGCAGGTGAGGATTTTTATTTTAAAGATACTGGTTTGAAAAAATGCCAAAATCTTAATTTCTGAAAGCTCTCAATTTTGTCCCTAAGATGTCGCTCCTCTGCTGCCATTCTATAAGGCTGATGAGCAGGATGGAGAGGGCTAGAGACAGAAAATGTCTTTGACAGAGCTAAGATGATTTGAAGTCCGATAAGTGACTGCCTGTCTAGACCAAGGGATCACAGAGATTTTGCCAGGATTCTGCAGGCAAAAGGTAGAAAAAATATTCTAACATAAGGGATAAAATTCTGTCAGTGTAATAAAGTTGGATGTTGGCCAAAATGAAATTCCTAAAAGCCATTTGCTTTTAAAAAATAAAACCAGTGCTTTATTTTTAAGATGACATTATCTCCAGTTTTAATGGCAGAGGACGACTGTAATGAGAATGACACAGCTTTTCTGTCCTGAACTTAAAAACTCATACTTACTTCATCTGCTATACCTTATCAGCAACTTCAAACATTGCAATAATTATAATCAAAATTTAAGAAAGTATCTACAATTAAAAATTTTCTACCCAGAGGTATGTGCAATTTCCATTACTATGCTAGAACTCAAAGATTCTAAATTTTATAGAAATGAAATAATCAAACAGTGCAGGAAATTTTGAAATCTTAAGATATTTAAATAATTTGTATCGGATTTTTTAAAATGGAGTTTCTCAAGGTTTTTTTTTAATGTGTGTTTTATCTGTAAAACCAGGAAATTCAAGACTTTTCAAGTAGAATTGCTTCTTAGGTTTAAAAAAAAAACCAGCTATTTCCCATATAGTATTTCAAACAAAAATATACTTGTGAAAACAAGCATTTTAAACACTTACTAATTTAATGTGAGCTCATACATACTTTTAATATAATGTCCACCTTTTTCTAAGCCTGTTTTTAGAGACTCATGTAAAGCCTGTTAAGGGTGCACTCTACTTGATTCGCCTATTAATCCGATAGTGTAATTAACTAGGAAGGAAATCCCCAACCTGCATCCTTAGCGACTTGTACTTGTCGGCTATTCCCCAGGGTACACCTAGCACACAATGCTGGACCCACAGCAATCCAGGGCATAATTGATTATCTGAAAGAAACAGATGTTTTCAAAAGTAAGTGAAACCATATTTTTACCACGCATTTAGGAATCAGCCAGATGTCAAAGGAGGGCCTGATTTTGCAGGTTTCCAACTGGATTTGATGACAACTTTCCTTCTTCAATGCAGTGAATAAACAAGATTCTTGCATGTCACATGACAAATGTGACTATTTGTGTAATAATATGCTATGCCTGTTATACAATATTTTAGTTATTGCCAAGTCACAATCAGCATCCTGTAAAGCCTACTAGGGTGGCTCACTTAAAATTGAGACAGTCAATGGGACCGATACGTCAACCCTCAACATCTTTGGGAAGCTTTGACGTACAGGAAAATGGAAGGTATCTCTGTTTCACTCGATAACTACTCAAGGAATTGTGTAGAGGCCAAGTGTGAAATGTTCAGTTGTCTAAAACCTATCATTGAATTGTTACATTGTGTGTTCAGTTAAAAAAATGAATGTTGTCAACTCCAAACTACAAATTTTTGCTTGTATTTCATGATAAAAAATTTTGTGGGTTTCTAGCGAAAGTCATCAGAGTCCTAGAAGGTGCGTTTCACACTCTGGATCCCCCCAAAATATTAACCTTACTGTGGGCTTTTGTCATATCTTAGACAGTAGTTATGTAAAACTATTATTTCCATTTGTCCTTAGGATTGGGAATTACAATTAAAGATTCAGTATTTATACAACCTCAGAAATCTTCAGCCAGTGTGACAATATATATGTGTTCTGTTAATTCTGCAGGCCGACCAGCCCTTACCAGACACATACCCAACCAAACAGAAAAGAAATTGGGGCAGAGACAATGACAAAGAGGAGGGAATAGTTCTTTCTAATGATGCATTGCTTAAATATGTTTTAAAATTAGAACATAAACACTAAGATCTTTTGAGTACTGGTAAGAAAAAAACGGACATACACAGCTAATCTTGAACAACCGAATGCCTGCTAATTCGATTGCCTAGACTTCCACTCATTAGCCAAGCAGTGTTCCAAATTAAGACATCCGGTCTCCTTCAATTTTCCACTTAACCCAGAACATGGGAGAATGGCTTTGACCAATCAACTTAGGATAAGACCATGCATGGAAAGTGACTTGCATTGTATATGGGTTAACAGTTGCGTGACGTGAGATGAAAAACCTACCTTGCCACTTGAAGCTCTTTGTATTCAGTTTTCTAGGGAATTGCCTCAACAGTGTGATCTACACTGTAGAAATGGGCCATATTTTTAAATGTGCATTTAGTGTCTTCTTCAATGATGAGAACATGCACATTTCCGTTTGGGTGACCCTAAAGCATTCTAATAACTTCATAACCTCAATAAAACTGATATTAAAATGAAGATGCCATGCACTATACAAACTTCAAAATCTGTTATGCGATCATAATACAAACACCACACAGAGAATTCTCAGTTCATATAATTTATTGCAGTTAGCACACAGTTTAAAAATTCACCAACACACCAATAGTACAAAACTAAACAGCATTATAAGTTATTCCCCCTCAGGAAATAAAACATACTATGATTGTCAAAGCTAGATGTCAGTCTAAGATTTAGAACAAAGGAAGAATGTGAAACTAAGAAAAAGAAAAAGCAATCACTCACAATGACCACAAAAAAAATCCAAAAAAAGTCCGTTCTCTCACAGACATTGATTGTCTTCTCTAAATTAATAAAGATTATTTAAACATAAACTGTATTAAAAAAACAAAAAAAAACTAGAAACTCTTCAAGTAACTAAAGATAATGCTCCAAGGCCATTTTCACAGCTTTTTTTGTTTGTTTGCTTTAAATGCCATTACAGCCAAATTAACATACATTTGACCAAATATTTCCAAAACAGTCCAGCAACACACAATGGAGTTTTCCATTCAGTATCTTAAGCACAAAAATAGGCTATGTTTACAGTAGTTAAGGCGATCAAATTTTAAACAAAAGCAATTAAAAAAGAAAAAGGGAAAAACAACAAACATTTTCCATGCTACTCCCATAGACCTTATTTGTAAGTGCAAGACAGGAAAACAAACACTGTGCAAAATGCTTCTCCCCTGCGTGCTGGCCATTAAAACCACACGCTGGGCTGCAGCCTCTGCTGCGATACACATAGTCTACTAACCCCTTCCCCACGTCAATCAAGGCAGTTCAGTCCTTTCAGCCTGGGGCTTTTTCAGTCCATAGAATCTTTTCATGAGTTAGGGGGCAGGGGGAAGGAAAGGAAATAGGGGAGAAAAAGAAAAGGGAAGCAAAAAGGAGAGAGAGAGAGAGAATGACCTATGACCTATTGTCAATTTGTGCAGTAGTTATTCTAAAAATGCTCAGCTGGGTACATGTGTACACACCTTAACTCTGAGCTGGCATGGGTTCTGTGCAATTACAAGTGTGTTATAAATGCACACTGCACATGCAAATCTTTAAGCCGTTTGTAAACATTTATATGTTCCTTGTAATGTAGCGAAGTTATCAATTTGCAGCTTAAGTTTTTATTCAGCTTAACAGTTTCAACTTAAAGACAGTGGGTAAAGTCAATTTAAATTATATAAAATAAAAATAAAAACAGTGCATTTACGCTCTTCGTAACACCAGTTTTTTTTCCCAAATGGTGCTATTTTTCTAAGGAAATTAAATAATTTTAAACTCACTCGTTAAAGTTATACAATGCAAACAAAGACAAAAAATATATTGAAACTCATGCATTTCTGTAGCGTTAATATTTACTTTTCAAGACTCAACTAAGAGCATCAACACAACCTGTCAAGTTCTTTGACACCCCCCCCAGCCCGTGTAATCAATTACAGTATACAAGAACAGTAATTCACATTTTAAACACACAGTTCAACACTGCTGAAGCTGCAATACCCTTTTTCATCTCAAGCAAACCTTCACAGAGACAGTCCCAGTGACCCAGTGTACTGTCACAATTTCTCTCACTGGGAACTGTCAGAAAACCAGAAGTTGCCACAGAAAGTTTTAAGTCAACTGCTTGTTTAAAAATAGATAATCCAGCATTTCAGAAATTTTCCATTTGGGTCTAAAAGCATTCAGGTTTCCAACAGCCAGAAAATATTCATGCAATTTGAGACATATAAAGAGGCTAATAAACTGGAGGGAATTTCTACTTTGAAAACAAAACAAAACAAAACAGTGGGGCACAAGAAAAGCGCTCGAGACAATGCAGTGTTTACAAAATGAAGCCATATGAAAGCATTGGGTGACAGAACCATTTGCTGAGAAGGATTTATTGGCTAACTTGGCCTACCCTTCAAAGGAAAGACACCTCTCTACTTCTGACTTGCTCTAAAGTTTCTTTTATCAGAATGCTAAATTAGTGAGATTCTCATGCTATTATTCTAAAGTGCAAAAACAAGGTAAGATCCCAACTTTTCAGTTCCAGGAAACAAGACTGCTTTTAGACCGTACCACAACTATATAGAGATCTATGTATATATATGTATATATATATATTATTTATATATATATATAAAATTATTTCCAAAGTTCTTGAGAGCTATCTTCTAAGGTCCAGTCTCTGACAGTGGGCAAGCTCAGTGCTTCGCTTTTGACCGACAAGGAGTTCACCAACTCACAGTGGAACTTGCGGATGTGTCTGTACAGGTCTCCCGACTGCGTGAACCTGCGCTCGCACCACTTGCAGGCGTGGGGCTTCTCACGGGTGTGTACCACGGCGTGGCGGCTCAGGTTGTGTGAGTACTGGAAACTCTTGCCGCACTGGGTGCACGTGTAGGGCTTCTCCCCCGAGTGAGTCCTCTCGTGGCGCTTGAGGGTGTACATGCAGGAGAAAGTCTTCCCACACAGGGAGCACGTGGGCACATTGACATCGGCGGCAGGCTTGCTGCGGATGCCATCCTGCTCTCGGAAGTGCGTGCTCAGGTGGATCTGCAGGATGTGGGGGCTGGGGAAGACTTTGTTGCACAGGGGGCACATGAAGATCTGGCCTGCAGGGCTCAGGATATTGGAGACATAGGGAAGCAGACTGCTCTCCATGCCCCCTTCCACCTGGACCCGATCGCTCTCTGGGGTCATCATCTCATCATCGCTGGCTTTGTCCTCCCGATCCAGCTCCCTCAAGACCGAGTCCTCCCTCAGAGGAGCCAGGTGGGCCGGCTCATACTGTACCCTGTTGTTAGTGCTCACACTCTCTTTCACAGTGCTATGTTCCATGTCATAATCATTAGTGCCAACATCACTCTCATCACAGGACGCCTCTTTCTCCACCTTCACCTGCACCAGGCTGCTTCTCAGCACGTCCTGTGAAGAGAAATAAGAGCTGTTCAGATTTTCAACTCCCGAAAGGCTGGACTTGACAGACAGGTCCAGCACACAGTCAACATCTGCCGAATCCCTCACGGAGGTGACAGACCTCTGGGACAAAGACTCTGTTGAGCTGCAGGGGCTGGCTACTGTTTTTCCAGCTGCTGTGGCGTGTGGCTCGGCCTCTCCGCCAGCCTGGGGGATGCCTGCTGAGTCTGAGGGCAATCGCATCCACATGTTCCCAGGCTCAGCTGCCAAGTCCCTTTTGCTGGGGAGAATGTTCAATTTCTCATCTTCGCCTTCATCTTCATCACTGGGCAGGTCACCTGCCATGTGGCTGCTGCCGTCTGAGAGGCTCTCGACTTTGTCGGAACAACTTGAAGCGTCTTCTTCTTTTTTGGTGCTGTCTGCCTCGGTGGTAGCTTTCTCTTTCAGCTTCTTTTTGCAGACTTTGACAATGTCATACATGTGGAGGTAACTGGCAGCTGCTAGCACGTCCTCAATGGGCAAGTCTTTGAACTGGAGTTTCCCTTCATACATGAATTCAAGCAGGAGAGCGAAAGCGGGGGCTGTCACAATGTCGCTGTTCAGATGAACAATGTCTCTTTTGTCCAGCTGGTCCTTGTAAAAGAGGTGGAAATACATGCTGCATGAAGCCAGCACAGCTCGGTGCGCCCGGAACTGGGCATCTCCCACCAGAACAGTGCAGTCACAAAGAAAGCCCTGGTGTCTCTGCTCGCTCAGACACTGCAGCAAATGTCTGCTGTGGTCTGGAAACTCCATGCTGTCTTCATAACCTGGGGAAAGAGGAGGTTCTCATTAGAGCCTGCTTATGAGTTTAGCCTCTAGTTCTCAGTTAAAAAAAAAAAACGCCTTAGTGGTGGAGAGTTTCATGTCTATGAATTTTAAATCAGGATCACACCCCAAAGGACTCCCAAGTCACACATGCCTAAATGCACTTGCCAAGGACTCTCACCCTTCTCAGAACTCCTGATCAAGTTAAAGACTTCCTTTAGCTACAGCGTATTACTGAGAACAAGAATTCAGACCTCTTCCACAAGAGATTTAACCAACTACTCACCAAGTGACATCCCGCAAAACCTACAAGACAGCTTTAACTTCAAAAGGAAGATCCCACAATAACAAGGCAAAGTCCCACACAAATTTTGGAAGAGTCGAGGAAACTTGCCCAACCATTCTTTTTATTTTTATCACTTTTCATACCTGACGACTAGAAAGAGTAGACTGAACACACACATTTGGTTGAATTTGGGGGGGATGAAATTGCATAATTAGTCCAGAAATCAGCAAACAACTTACTTTTAAAGTCAGAGTGTTACAACAACAAAAGCCCTGTGTATAAGAACAGATGTTGGTGCGTAAGATTTGCAGGTACTGCACACGCAGGAGATCAGACGGAACTGCACCGACAGATGGGAAAGATCATCTTTACTATGAACAAATCCAAACATTTTTAAAATGAATGGGGGGGCTGTTTCTTTGTAGAACAGTATTATTAGCAACCAGAGAGGCTGTTAACTCTGAAAATTCTCATCTAAACTTTGATCTTCTACAGGGTAAAACAAACTCCATATTAAAATTAATCAAACTTTCACCACTATAAAATGAGGTGTAAAAACTTGATAGGTTCGATGTTTAGTATTTTGAAAAGCCTTCCCAGAAAAACAAAACACTCTTCCCCCTGGCTCTGCCTTACCTCACCAACAGAAATACTTTGTTTCAATAAAAACTTGATATATCTTGTTTTCCCAGTAGTTCTGTTCTTTCAATTATGCATCTTTGCCTTGTTTTCTGGCAAGGGAGGGTGGTGAAGGAGGGAAGGCAAGATTGGGTCAAAATCCAACTATAGTGGAGAAAGATAAAAGAGAGCCCATTTCCCACCCTGTGAACAGAAACAGGGCTCCCATCCACCCACCACACTAAGTGCAGCTGAGGGTGGCTTTGGAGTTAACATTCAGAACCAGCTTCCCTCCTTGTCCTCACGATGCTGAAACAGTGAAACTCTCCTCCTAACCCCAGATACCTTCTGAAAGACACCACCAATAGAATGAACGAAGATTTACAATACAATCACTTTAAGTGCCCCACAGCTAACATCAATCCTAATCCTGGAGAGGGCTAAAAATAAAGATTGGAGGCCAGCTCACAAGGTAGCCATGATCAAATTAGGAGGCTGAGAGGACAGAGAGGGACGAAGAAGGAAGCTTATAAACATCTGATCCAGCTGACTGTGGCCATATGGCAGCTGCTGCCCAGATAAAGAGATTAAGAATAGAGGAGTGCGATTACAGCTGTCTGGCCAATTCAGGCAGCTCGAATCTACAAGTTCTAAATTAGTCGCTAACACAGAAACTCCTGCAAATAATGATTGTTATGCTGAAATAAAAGGTCTCTCAAATATATATTTGAAAGAGAAATGAGGAAACTGGTCGAACTATTCTCCTAGGAACAAAAGTTGTCTTTCTTTTTCTCCCCCCACCTAAAAAAAAAAAAAAAGAAACCCAACAACAAAACCCTCCGGTTTCAAAAGCACTACAGCTGTATGCTGCTTTCAGTAACGCTTGCCGAATGTTTTGGAGAATAAAGTTTCACAGTGGAATTAATTACACAACAACCTAGCTTCTTAACCAGAATAATCTTCTCATATAAGTTTGAAAGCTGGATTCCAGACAGTTTACTGTGTCTGCCCCCCTAAAGCAAAAGGAATCTACACAGCAGTGAACAATAAAAAGCATCTTAATCCAAAGTGATCTCAAAAAGCCATATTCCAAAGCCTTTCTTACCATCTGAAAACTTGAAATGTTTCTGTGTATTAAAGTTATTTACTTGCTCAAAGAAATAAAAATTTAAACCAAGCAAACCCAAGACTTCCAACTCCTGTAAGACCATCACCTCATGCTCAATTTCACATATTATTCATAAAGTGGATTACAAAAGTAATGTGATTTTTTTAAAAAAATTAAATAAAACACCCAAACAGAAAGATGCTCAATCTAATCTCTTGCTACTCCTACCTTTAGGACACATAAACTTGATTAAGTCCTTCCCTCGGAGTCTTGCTGGCTCCAGGTCTGTTACATCGGTGGAAAAAAAGCAGACTAAGAGACAGATGCAAAGTGGAGATGATGTTGGAGAGGAATGAGATACCTTCTCCACCACAGATCCGCACACACTAACTCCCTGTCTGTGTGTTAGAATAAAAGGCTGAGGGATGGCAGGCTGTCAGCTGCTCTGACATCATGTTCAGATGGAAATGCTACCTCCAGCTGTGCTCCTTTAATGCCATATGCTACTCCTCTACACTCCTGCCACCAGCTTTTTCTTAGGAGAACTTTTCTCCTCTGTTAGTATAAACAAAATACTTCAAAGTCTTCCTTTTTCCCCCCCAAACTTTCTAACAGAAGAAATGGAAAAACTCAGCATATGGAGTCCTACTGTATTTATGGAATCGCAACACTTCTGCCTCGAGTTGGTGGCCTGGCTTACATATGACAGCACACTCAAGCTCGGCGCTATTCAGGAAACCCACATTCACTTTTATTCAACTCCAACGTCTACTTTCAAAGGCAGCTTAGGGATATTTTTAAACCTACCCATTTGACATCTCCAGTCCCACTTCAACATATTACAGCATGGTTTTTTTTCCCTCCCCCCGCGGAGGTAATGGTAGACATCTCCAAAATGTTGGCAGACTTATTAAGAGCTATTACTTCAGCGTGGTTCACCTTATTATTTCACTCTTACTTAGCAACTTATCTGCAACTACCTCCCAGGAAAACAATTCACACTGCCACCATGAATGCAGATTTCCATTCTCAGCGTCAACAAACTGAAACTGCACTTTCTGAAATCCTGGAAAGTATTTCGGTTCAATAAAGGCAAATTAATAAGCTGACACAACCTGCTGCAGTCACTTGGAATGACTGTTTGGCCACATCTCGTGTTTCTGCTCAGAAAAAGGCGTCACTTTGTCTTGCCCTTCTTCCCTATCACTTTGGGCTAAAGGGTTGTGATCAGCGGGAGGGGTGGGAAGCCAAGTGTAGACTCTGGGAACTTTCTTGGCTAGAGTTTGTGGGTCTTTTCTAATGGCTGATGAAATGCTAAGGTAACCGGGGCTGGGCCGCCTGGTTCCCCGCAAGGTGCTGCGACATCTATGAATGTCAGACGCGTCTATCTCTACAGACTCTTGGGAGGTTGAGGAGTAGAAAAAAGAAACTGAGGCGCAAACGTCCCAACCCGAGCGACAACCACTTGGGCTCGCCTTAGAAAACCGAGGCAGGGAGCTAGAGAACAAAACCCCAACTCTGTCCTGCCCTCGCTCACGAGTCACAAACCTAACTTTCTTTAACTTCGCGGTGAATGACATAATTCTGAACTCGTTCTGGAGGCACATTGTGCAGATACGTTACTTCCCTGCTACACACACCCTCTTCTCCGCAGATGCCCTCGCCCTGTTCCAATATATCCGACATTAATCACCCCGTTTACCCAGTGGGGTGATGGTGGGGGTGAGTGACAGTTTAATGAGCCCCAAGGACCGCAATGGCCCGGAGACATCCCGTCCAAGTCCGCGGACCCTCGGAGGTTCTGTGAGGTTTGGGGTTTTGTTTCTCAGAGGTGGGGGCAGGGTGCCCCGGGTGTGTTTGAGGTTTGGGGTGTGGGGGGGGGAGATGCAAATCTTCGCGCAGTTCGCCGTGCATAAAGCACTTGGGGAAAGAGGAAGGGTGAAACCACTGGGAAGGAGGTGCAGGGCAGAGAGCCGGTGCAGCAGGAAAACACCTTCCACAACGGCCGAGAAAACAGACCCGGTCGCGGCAACAACAAAAGAAAAGTCGCAAGAAGCGGCGCGGCGACCGCTCCCCCGCCGCCGCCGCCGCGCGCCAGCCCCCGGGGCCTCCCGGCAACCGCAACCCGGGCGCCGCGCCCTCCCCCTCCCCCGGCCCTGCAGCTGCACCGGCCCCGGAGCCGCGGCCGTCCCGGGCGCTGCAGCTGCGGCGGCCCGGACCCCTCCCCCGCCCGCCCGCCCGCCCTCCGCACCGGGAGGCGCCGCCGCAGCTGCACCGAGTCCGCCCCGCGCCGCAGCTGCACCGGCCGGGGAGCGCGGCCAGGCGAGGCGAGGCGAGCCCGCACCGCCCGCCCGCCCTCCGCCGCACTAACTAACTCCGCCCGGCGGGAGCCCACGGCCGGCAGCGGGGCAGGGCGGGCGCGGGGACTCACACGGAGCGGCCCGAGTCGCCGCGTCCCCGCCGCGTCCTCCTCCTCCTCCTCCTCCTCCTCTGCCGCCGCCGCTGGACTTGTGGGCGTCCTCCGCCGGCCCCCGCCCGCCCGCCGGCCCCGGCCCGGGCCCCGCGCGCCCCCGCCGCCCCCCGCCCGCGCTGGCAGCCTGAGGCGCGCGGCCGAGCCACAGGGCCCCACTCTTTCAACGGCTCCCCATGGCAGCAGCCCAGCGGCGGCCGCAGCCTGCCAGACGTACGGGCGGGAGCGGGCGGGCGGGCGGGCGAGCGCGGCGCCGGGCCGGGGGGCGGGGCGGGCGGGGCGCGGGCGGGGGGGCGGACGACGCACACGCACGCACGCGGCGGCGCGGCCCAGATGTGGCCCCGCCCGGCCGGGCCGCCCCGCGCCGGCCGCTTGGCGATTGAGCGAAAGCGGCGGGCCCCGGTCCCTGGCCCGCCCTCGCTCGCAGCATTGCCCAATAGCAGAGCGGTGTTACGGAGTGGGCGGAGGGGCGGCGGGACTGACGGGGAAGCTCCACCAATGGTAGTGGCGGGTAGGAGCTGCCGCCTGCGCGCGCCAATCGCAGGAGGCGACTGTTGGGTGGGCGTGGTCTCTTCGAGGGGGAGGCGGAGTCCGCGGGCCGCGGCGGCGGCGGCGGCGGCGGCGGCAGCGGCGCCCCTCTGGGTGACTTGGCCGTGAGAAAGTGAAAGGAGCCCGCAGGCGGCGGCGACAGCTGCGCGGGGAGGGGCCTGTTTCCAGGCTGGAGACGAGCGCGTTCTGGGGGTGTGGAGGGAGGGAGTCTGCGTGCACCGCGACGGCCATAAGTATACTTTTACACGGGGCAGGTGTCCCGGGGAGGCAGAGCGCGCGGGGCCGCAGCTGGCCGGGGCCGGCCTGGGGCGGCTGGGTCTGGCCCTCCTGCGGTGCTCGCTTGGGCCGCGTCCGCGGGGACGCGCCGCCTCCGGCCTGTGGTGTCAGCCGCCAGGTGCACGGGGGCTGCGAGCTCCGAGCGGCTGCGAGAGGCGCCTTTTCCCAGCGTCCTCCGTGCAAGTTGCAGCTGCGTTTCTCTTCCCGATCCCCGCGTCCAGTCTGCACTCACGGTGACAAGCAAAGACATTGCCCAGAGACCAGTTTTAGAGCTCTCCAGTGAGACTGATACTTGTAGAGGCTTTAGACTGTTTCTTAATCGGTGCTTAACGAGCCACGGCTTCACATTACAGAGGGGAGAGGCGTTATTTTGTGTGGCGCTCCCCTCCCTTCAGATAAACTTCCTCCGTCCGTACCTGTTCTTAGTGGCTGTGTTGATCACTGCCACAGCAAGGAGGAAATGTAGAAAGTTTCTGCTCTCAAGACAATGGGAGGAAAGAATAACACAAGTAAAAAGTTGAGTAATGAAGGGGGGGGGAGATGATTCAAGACAATACAACAGAAAACTGCATAGCGAGGAAATCAACACACTAGTAATTGTCTAAATGAAATGTGTTTACTGTTTGCTAAGTGAACCCAAACTGCCAAGCCCTGTTGCTAACCAACTCGCCAGGAGACCTTGCCGCTGGGCAAAACCTTTCCCTTTCTTCAGGGTCAAACTGGTAAAGAAGTTGAAAGTAATTGTGTGGGCAAATCAGACATAGTGAATTGCTAATGAAGAAACACGAGCACACAAAATTTTTAGAAATTTGATATTCTGTTAGAAATGGTAATGCTTTCCACTCCTTCAACCCTCTTGTGTCCTGTTTCAGATCTGACCAGATAGATTTCTTACTCCATACTTCCCAGAAGAAATGAAACCCAATCTCAGTCGGTTTCGAACTAGATGAGTTTACAAGTGGTTTTTGGTTTGGTTTGGTGTTTTGAGACAGGGTCTCTCTACTGTCCTTAAACTTACTATGTAGATCAGACAGACGAGCCTCGAACTCGAAGAGATCTGCCTGCCTCTGCCTCCCAAGTGCTGGGATTAAAGGTATGGGCCACCACACCGGGTTACAGGTATTCTTGATGAATGAAACACAATTTAAAAACATGAAAAGGAACATATATATATATATATATATATATATAGTTTCATGGAGAGTTCATGAGGATAAAAGGAAAAAGGCGTTTGTATTCATAAAGTCATTTCTCACCAATTAAAAGTTAACAGTAAGCAAATACGTAAAGTAATTGATAATGCCAGGATATCAACCATACATTTATAAGAAAATTGGGACATTCAGATCATCCACCAAAGCTTACACTCAGTTTTATGGCCCCCGAGGGAAATCACAGCTCTGACAACGGGTTATAGAATGTACCGGCAAGTGGAGCTGCCGAATCCCAGAGATGGACAGAAGACACTGGTGGGTCGAAAGTCATAAATATCGCTTGCTTTATTTGGGGGCTGTTTTCCTTCTAAGCCATAATTAGTATCCATTTTGAGAACTGAAAAATATGTTCAGGAAATACAGACTAAATGGATATTTAAGGAAGCCAGTCTGTCACCCCTTATTGCTGTGACAGTCTTATCCAAGGTCCCTGGTACAATTGTATTTTCTCTGCCTCCCCCCACCCCAGCTTCATTTTAAATGTCTTAAAAACTTATTGTCCAAATGGTATTTTAAGTTCTGGTTGAAAAATCATCAACATACAAAATACATAGTATGACTAGCACCAGAGGTACCTATACAGAAGGCTACTGTATTGCATCCATTGGGTCCAGAAAGATAAAAAGTCAAGCGCCCCAAATGACTCCCCTTGGGTATGTTTCTGAAGCTGAGGTCTGCCCCACAGAGACGTGATGACAGACAGAGTTCACTGTTTTAAAACTAGTAGACTACCCCCAACACCCACCACACACAGTGAAGACAAATAGGCAAAAAAATACCCAACACTAATCTATTGGGGAAAATAGACCATTCATTGCTTTATCTCTGAAGGCGTGGCATTGCTGCATAATTCTGATTCACTTGAGCTTTTCTGGGAGCTCTGAAATTAAAAAAAATTCTCGATAGGAAACAAGCTTTACATTTTTATGACATAAATGCCAAACAGTAAAAATCTTAACAGAATAAACGTTGACAGATCCATAAAGTGAATGTCTGGTTTTTAGATGTGAATCACAAGTTAGAGCTTTGAAAAACCATCATTGATTCTATTGCAGGTAACATAGTCAAGTTAAAAGTTATGAAAGTAAATTTTAAATATTGTGTTTATAAACTTATCTATTTCATGCATAGTTAGAATTTTTCCTAAAAAATGTGGAATTAGAGGCAAACAATAGAAGATCAGATAACCTGAGGTGTGAGATTTATAACAACTGTTACAGGTGTCAAAGTATGACTAGAATTTAACCTGTTCAGTTATGATTTATCCATTTATTTTAGATAAGCACTCCCTGTATTGCCTACATTGCCCTTGAACATCTAGAGTCAAATGACTGACCTGCTTCCACATCCCAAACAGCTGTCATGCTTAGCTCTGATTTTAATCTGTACATGTACAGGGAAAAGGCATACTAAAGTAAAAAGTTTGTTCAAACTCCTAGTAAACTCACTACTTTCCATACGTTGTATGAAGGAGACTCTGCTAGCTATTTATTTTTGAGACAGATTTGTAACCCTGCCTCAGCCTCCCAGGTGCTGCAGTTATAAGCAGGTGCCACGATGACACCCCCTCCCCAACCCCTCACCCCAAAACTCTTTTGTGGCTCTTAGGAAACTGCAGGTTGATACTGTCTGAAGGGAGGAACAGGCACAGAAGCACAGCTGCAACAATGATTTTAAGAAGTAAATGAACTGGAATTCACACCACAAACAGCGAACAGGGAGTGTATTCCCTAATGCGTCTCTGTCTGTCTATGGTGTGTGTGTGTGTGTGTGTGTGTGTGTGTGTGTGTGTGTGTGTGTGTATGTTTCTATGCAAAATACGCTAGGGACCAGTGAGGAGACTCATCAGGTAACAGCCCTGGCTGCATAAGCCTAAAGACCCACATTTTTTTAAAAGCCTGATGAGGATATAGGGTGGAGGGCATCTGTAGCTCCCTATAGTGAGAGGCTAGAGAATCACCCAGCTTCAGGGCAGACTAGCCTGGAGTAGGCTGTACCTCAACAACATGGAAGGTGAGAGCCTACTCCTGAAAGTTATTCTCTAACCTCCACATGTAGGTATGGCATGCACTCACCTGCATTCACACACATACAAAACAGATAAAAGTGTTTCTTTTAAAAGATAGGGTCTCACTATATAGCCTTTGCTAGTCTGGAACTTGCTATATAGACCAGGTTGGCCTTTAACTCACAGAGAACACCTGCCCCTGCCTACTAAGTGCCAGGATTAAAGGCTGTAACACCATATTTAACCAGTGAGAATATTTTGAAACACTTAAATACATATGCACACATAATTCTGTAGAGCACATTATATACCAAATCATTTCCCAGATTGTGTGGTTAGGAACCTACACATTAAATTCTCAAATTGTGATTGCCCAGCATTGGAGATAATTCCTTTAGATTGACAGCCCTGAGCCAGAAACAGTGTTAGAAACTTGAGGAAGGAACCTTGCATGGGGTGCCGGGGCAGTGGGATCCTCTGTACTGAATGCAGAGGGAGCCACACCAGTAACTCAAGAGATG